TGTCGCTGGTGATGCTGCATACGAGAATATGGCAATGGAAAAGAACCTCGTAAACGACTTGTGCGATAGCTACAGTGTCTTACCCGACGCGTTAGTCCCAACGCTCGATAGAATCTTCGGTGATTACAAGAAATTGACTAAACAGAATGGACGTATGGTCGGCGATATCTTCAATTTGTACATCAGAGTCATCCTTGATGAGAAGGAAAAGATGTCTTTCGTGACAATTAACGGAGCCAACCAGACAACATGTGTCTCTTACATCCCACAGAAGGCTTTGGAGTTCAAAGCGGCCGGAAAGTCCATCATCGTCATTGCGGAAGGGTTTGTGTACGGCTTGATCAACACTGCCGACTTCAAAGGCGAAGCTTTGCAAGAAGTTTGCGAGAAGACCAAACAGTCCAAAAGAAAGGAGAAGAAGGACGACAAGAAAGAAGAAAAGAAGGAGGATAAAAAGGAGAAGAGTGTTCCTTTCAGAGTGTCCCAAGTCAAAGTGAAGGCGAAAGGAAAGAAGCCCGAAGCTGTCGAAGGGTATGTCGAGGTCAGCGGAAGCATCGGAGGCAATGTTGCTCTTTTGACCGACTTCCTCAAGGAAGCTGGTTTTACTGAATTCCAAAATTGAGGCTTTAATTTACTCTCTTTCTGCTTTTTTGATCTCAAAAAATGGTGACAAATTATTGTGTCTAAGAATATTTCCGTTAAATAGTATCTCAAAAAAATCGATTAATTTTTGACGGAACGACAAGGGATATTAGTCGATGTGTTGTGGTTTGTTCCCTTTGTACATGAAAATTTGGGTGATGATGATTCCGTTGATCACCACACCAGAGAAGTACGAGAAGAGAATCAAATACTCTCCCTCCATTTCAACCCACGTTGTGAACATTCTCATCAAGTTACCGGCGAAGAGTCCGATGGTAGTAGCCAACGAGAGACTTCCTGTTGCTTTAGTCTTATAGTTCTGATATATTTGTGGGAGTTTTGCGATGATGAAGAACGGAATTGTGAGGGATTGCAAGACAGAGAGGACGGCGGGTGGGCACAACCCTGCGAAGAGTGCACCGAAGAAGAGCGAAAACGCGACGGAGATCTCGATGAATTTCGCGTCGATTTTCTTGGCGTAGAACACTATTAAAATGATGATTGTGATGTCTTGGATTAATAAGAAGAAGTAATCGAAATAGGTGCTCAAAGGATATCCCCCTTGGTAATGGTAATTAAAGGCAATTGCATATAAAAAGATTTCAATCAAAAAAGATTGAAGAGAAACACCTTCACCACTCTTCGCTTGGTATATCGTTAGGATTTGGGGGACTTTCATAAACATCGAGGCACCCACTATTAATGTCCCAAACAATTTACTGAAGAGGTATGAAACGTCCATTTACTATTTTCAAGTTCTTTGCGGTTTTTAAGTTTTTTATTAGTTTGTTATTATTAAATACTAGTTCACTATCAAAATTGTTCTTTTTGTCAAAAGTTCGAAACAAATTAATAAAATGATTAAATTATTATAAAAATATTTATTCAAGGAAACAACTGTTCGAAATTATTTATCAATCATTAATTTCCAACCAACACTGAAATGAGAAAGATTGCAATCACAGGAATAGAATACTTTTAAACCGACTTCAAAAACAGAAAGTAGTACAGATAGTAGAAAAATAAGGTGTCAGGAATAAATTGGGTGTCAAATAAATTAGGGATTAGTTAATGTAAAAAAATGGGTTTCGTTTTTTTTTTTTATTTTTTCCCCTCACACAAAAAAAAATAAAAAACCATTAAATAACTTAAAATCAATCTGACACCCAATTTATTCTTGACACCCAAATTTTCTACTATCTGTAGTATATAAATTATGTATATTTAAGGGGCAGCCATTTTAAACTATATTTTATAATATTTTAATTAAATCGCGAGGGACGCGTTTTCAAATTTTCCCAAAATTCGGAAATATAGTACCGAGTTTATTTTTCTTATTATTTATTTTTTTATTTTCCCTAAAATGAGCACAACACAAGAATACAGATTAAATAATTTTTATTAATTTACTAATAACTATTCCGAAGAAGATATTTTGAATTGTTTCACAATTAATTCAGGAACTATTAAATCACCATTTACTAAAATTAATAACAAAGAATGTAGAAAAAAATTAATTGCTATGGGTATTAACACGAGAGAATTATATTTACATTATAAAGTAAAATTAGAAACTCAATAGGAGGTTTAAACTACTGTTTGCGAACCACCTCTTTGCTACGAGACCAAAGGTCTCTCAGCTTTGCGTACAGAATTAAGGGTTCCTCAGCCTTCGGCGTACTTTACTAACAAAAACCCAAATATGGGTTTCTTTTTGTCGTCTTGGATTTTAATAAAAAAATTATCTTTATTTCGAATCCGATTCTTTAACTAAATTTAATACATAATATAAATCTAATTTATTTGTAGATAAATAATATCGCATAACGGGTATTAACATATCTGCTATTGTAT